AACTGAAGAAAAAATTAAAGACTCGACTTTCGTTACTGAAAGAGTCTCTGGACAAATTATTGAATGATGCAGAAAGTGTCAAAAGAAGATGGAAGGAATATACAGAGTCACTGTACAGAAAGGAAATGGTTAATCTTCAACCATTTCAAGAGGTAGCATATGATCAAAGAGCCAATGATACTGAAGGAAGAAGTCCAAGATATACTAAAGGAATTTGCAAAGAGCAAGGCACCAGGAATTGATGGAATAAATACTGAAATCTTTCAAGAATGTGAAGCAGCACTGGAGGCACTTGCTCATCTATACCAAGAAATTTGGAAGACAACTATCTGGCCAGTTGATTGAAAGAGATCCGTATTTATGCCCATTCCAAAGAGAGGTAACCCAACAGTATTTGGAAATCATCGGACAACAGCTTTGAAATCACCTGCAAATAAAGTTTTTACTAAAGGTAATACAGTAACAGCGGCAAGGATACATTGACAGAGAACTTCCAGATCAAGCTGGATTCAGAAGAGGCTGTGGAATGAGGGATATGATTGCTGATGTCCGATGGATCTTGGCTGAAAGCAAAGAATACAAGAAAGATGTTTACCTGTGCTTTATTGACTATGCAAAGGCTTTCGATTGTGTGGCTCATGACAAGCTATGGACAACATTGCAAAGTATGAGCATTCCAAACACTTAATTGTGCTCCTGAGGAATCTGTACATGGACCAATAGGCAGCTATCCGAACAGAACATGGGAATACTGAATGGTTTAAAATTAGGAAAGGTGTGCAACAGGGTTGTATTCTTTCACTATACTTATTCAACCTGTATGCTGAGCAAAGAATCCGAGAAGCGGGGTTATATGAAGAAAAATGCAGCATCAAGATTGGAGGAAGACTCATTTACAACCTGTGATATGGAAATGATACAACCTTGCTTGCTGAAAGTGAAAAGGACTTTAAAAAATACTTACTGATGTGACTGTCCTATAACCATCGAGAAAACCTATTAAGATTACTCTTCTGGAATCCCCCCAAAACAGTCACCTAAACCTTCTAAACTGACCTCTCTGCCTTGAATTTAATTAATCCAGCCGAATCCAGTTTTAATAGACCTTAAGGACACTAAGTGGTGGTGGTTATGTGCCGTGGAGTTGGTTCCAAGGCTGTAAATCTTTACAGGAACAGAAGAAAGTCTCATCTTTCTCCCACGGAACGGCTGGTAGTTTCGAACTACTGACCCTGAGGTTAGCAGGCCAACTTGTAACCATTATACTACCAGACCAACTGCAATACTGAAAAACTGGTCTACAGCCATCCACTGATTGCAGGCATATTTACGCACGTTTTGTTTATATCGATCTGTGCATGTTTGAACGGGAGCTCTAGTAGTAATACTCTGATTTACTCTCCTAGATGTGTTTAAACTTTGTCCCCACGGAGAGGAAGCAGCACTCCCCCTGTACCTGCTTCAAACTCCCCTCCCTCCTTTCTGCATCCATTTAACTAGAGCTGAAAGAACAAGGGTAAAGTCCCACATTTAACAACTTCTCCACCAAGCTATTTAAAGCGGCATCCTGAAATCATTTATGATTTCAAGGGGTACATTATTAAAGTTAATCTGAAATATGAGAGGTTAGCAAGAAACGGAGAGTGGGAGACGAGCACCAGTTTGATAGCACAGGGAGCCAGTCAGTCCCTTCGCGGCCAGCTCTAGACCTGGACGCGGATGTTGGCAGGACAGCCCGGGGCGGCCGGGAAAGCGGGATGAGGGCGCTCCAAGACGAGAAAGACTAAGGGCGGGTCCCTGGGGCAGCAGATCAGTCTCGAAAGCGAGGGCGCTCTCCTCAGCGCGCCACCCGAGGATTGGCTGGGGCCGGGGTCCCGTTTGCTGCCCAGTCCGTGTCTCGGAGGGTACCTGACTGCAGGCGGCCGGTCCACAGCCCCCTCCCGCCGCCCCGGATGGAAAGCAGGCTGCTTCTCCACTGAGCCGCGACCCTCGCTGGCGTCGCCAACATTGCGCGCCTCTGAAATCCTCAGTCCCCGCGTGAGCGAAGAATACACACAACATCCGAAGGAACCTCTGGGTATGGCCAGGACAGGGCGGGGCCTGCGCGGGGCAAGGGCGGGGCGGAGGCGGGAGCCCGCGCGAAGCGACGAGGTAAGGCTAGGGCGGGGCGGAGGCGGAGCTAGGCCAGCTCGCACGAGCCTGCTCTGTAGGCCCATCTCACCCATTGGTTAGACGTCTAGTCAATTTACCAATAAACTCCAGACTACACAGATCGTTGTTTGGATGGGCTGTTCGGACTTTATCCCTTTTCTTCTTCCTTCACTTAAATTCGCTCAGTCTCCTCCCAGTTCAGGAACTCTTTTAACCCGCCGTCCCTTCCGGAACATTTGTGTTTCCGGAACGTTTGTGATACCGGAACCAATGTACTGTCTGGAGGTGGTGGCCTGAGGACTTTTTTGGTACAGGACTACCAGTTCTCTGTGAAGAGTTCTCCGAGACAGTTCCGGCAGGAGAAAGCGGCCCTAAGGGCGTCGTCTTCGCTTTCTGAGATGCACCGACAGAATTTTAGACCCCCGACCCCTCCTTATCCAGGCTCTGGTGTAGGAAACTGGGGTAATGGAAGCAGCTTCCGAGGTACCCCGGGCGGGAGCGGGCCGCGGCCGCCCTCTCCTCGGGACGGTTACGGGAGTCCGCACCACACACCACCGTACGGGCCCCGGTCTAGACCCTATGGAAGCAGCCATTCGCCACGACAAGGCGGCAGCTTCCCGGGGGGCCGGTTCGGGTCCCCATCCCCTGGCGGCTACTCTGGCTCGTACTCCAAGTCTCCCGCGGGGTCCCAGCAGCAATTCGGCTACTCCCCCGGGCAACAGCAGACCCACCCCCAGGTAATCTAGCCTACGTTGGCTGAGCTCTTCCTCTGTGGTAGGAACGGTCGTTTAATCCTTGGGTTACGTGAATTCTTTTCGGCAATATCCTTTGAGGTGGGGTATTGTTAGTAGCCCTATTTTGCAGATGAGCAAACTAAGGCGTTCTTAGTAACTTTTATAAGATGACCCTACCAAAGTGGCAGTCAGATTTTGAACCATCCATTCTAATTCCTGCTTTTAGCCTGGATACGGATACCCGATTCTAATCCAGCAGGGGGGCCTTGCCAGTTTTCTGGTCATTGTTCTGAGACCCATGGCGCGGGGGAAGTGGATGAATCCCCCCCCCCCCCCAGGCTCGTCCTGGATGTGGGCTGATGCCATTGTGTTACTACTGTCACCTTTTTTTGTTCTTTACCTTTGCCTTGTATTTGACTACACAAACTTTCGCCTTCCAAGCCTTCTCAAGAAAAAAATTAATGGGTGGGTAGTGAAAGTGTATTCGAACACTGAATGATTGAGTAGAGACAGTGGCAGGATTTCTGGTGAGTCTAGGTAGCCCCGTGGTTTGTAGTTGGCATGCTCCGGGACTTTTCCAAGGAGCCCTGGTAGCGAATTGGGGTACACGTTTGGCTTCTAACCTCAAGGTCAAATTCAAACCCAGCAGCTGCTCTGCAGGAGAAAGATGAGGCTGTCAAAGATTTTCAGTGTCAGAACCCAATGAAACCGTTTTACTGTGCCCTCTAGGGTTCCTGTGAGTGGGAAGAGACTTAATTGGCAGTGGATTTGGTTTTTGGTTAGGTGGTTTTCCAACTTTATGTTTTAAACCCGCCCCACTCTTCTAAAGCTGGTGATAGGGGAGAAAAAAATTCATGGCTACAAAGGTTTTCTATAAAATTTGAAGCCTTATAGTGTTTAAAAATAAATGACGATCCCCCCCCCCCCAAATGGAGATTTTAAGTTGAGGGGTATGAAATATAATTGATTATTTTTTAATCGCTGCTTTGTATATGCAAAGTTACAAGAGGGCTTCAGAAAGTTCGTGGAAGAATTCCGTTGTCTTTGAATTCCATATTTCCACCCTCTTGAAGCTCCTTTGTATTACATTAGAAACCCTAAAGTAGTTGAGATAAATAGTGGGAATAGAAATACAAAAACAATGGATTTTGCAGGCAAACATAATTTGATTCTAAGTCACCACTTAGCTAGTAATGTGATCCTCCTGAGACTTAAGCTGTTAAAGAAAAACATACCAAGTATCACTACTAAGTGTTTTTTTTAATTGATGATTTTTTTTCTAAAGGGCTCTCCAAGGACCTCTACACCATTTGGATCAGGGCGTGGTAGAGAAAAAAGAATGTCTAATGAGGTGGAAAGTTATTTTAAGCCTTCAATGCTTGAAGACCCTTGGGCTGGCCTAGAACCAATATCCGTAGTGGATATAAGCCAACAGTACAGCAGTACTCAAACATTCACAGGCAAAAAAGGAAGGTACTTTTGTTAACATTTGTGAAATTCACCTGGAAGCTTCCTATGGCTGGAACATCTTGAACAGAATTGTTACTTCTGTAATTAAGTGGAACCTTAAGAAAATGACTTATTAGGGTCTTGGTATCAAGTATTATTAATACTGAGAAGAAATATGGTAGGGTAATTTGTAATGTTTAGCTCTTTGGTAGTGCCTACTACGTTTCAAAAGATGCCATATATTTAAAACTTGATTATATAATGGACATTCATCTTTTTATGTTTGCCCAATATTTTGAAATAAAACCTTTTGTCTTTCTAGATATATTGTGGTTTTGATGTATGCTAAAAAGTAAAATGATTGAAATAATGCTTCATCAGCATCTGTTAGAAACTGCTTTTTTAAATAAATAGAAAAATCATCCTTTAAACTGTTGTTAAGTGCCATCGAGTCAGTTCTGATTCAGGGACCCTGTATAGGGTTTCCTAGACTTTAAATCTTCACAGGAGCAGAAAGCCTCATCTTTCTCCCATGGAGCAGCTGGCAGGTTCAAACTGCAGACCTTATGGTTTGCAGTCCAGTGTTTATCATATGGAGCCACTGTATTTCCATCCTTTGAACTGTACATTTACATATTTGCTTATAAGGAAAGAAGGTGAAGGAAGAGAAGAATTCTGTAACCCCACTTTAACATAAATAAAAAGGGTATTTGTGTGCTCATTTAGCTAGGAAATATAAGTTACACCTATTTTAAACATAGATCTGAGTATTCTGTGGCTAAATTTCATAGGATCAGCACTGTACTCCAAACCACAAGGTCTGCAACTGTAATCCACCAACTGCTCCTTGAAAACCCTGTACAAGGTCTCTATGAGTCGGAAGTGACTTTAACAGCACTTAAAACAACAACGTATCTCTCAGGATTGTGTGGTCATTTTCTCCTGATGTCAAAAAAAGTAACTGCTATTATCCACAAAGTTACATCCATTACAAAGAGAACAACTAATTCCATCAACCCCAGGGAAGACAGAGTAGCCATTCTAGGATCATGTTTCTATTTCCCTGAACCAATAACTGTGCCCAAGAAAGTGGTGCCTCCTTAGCCAGAATCATGAACCATCTCTGAGATGACACAGGCCCTGTGACTTTCAGCCCCACTAGATGGCACTTCACAACGACAAGGCCTACCTAGAGTAAATATGTATATATGTACTTACCCCAGTCGCTGCCATCAATTTGATTCTGACTAATTGACCCTGTATTGTGTTTCCAAGTCTATAAACCTTTATGGGAGCAGAAAGCCTCATCTTTTTCTTGGGAAGCTGCTGGTGGGTTTGAATTGCCAGCTTTGCAGTTAGCAATCCAATAACTACAGCACCACCAGGGCTCCAGAAACACTAATATCTAAAAATGAAAGTCACAACCACTTATTTGAGCCATACCTAGTTCTATTAGTTCATTACAAAAAGAAAATGAGAAGAGAAGGGTATTTGATGACTAAGACCTAGGGGTTTGGAAACTGCTTCTGTCAGTTAATAGATGAGTTACTTCTTTCTGCCTCAGTTTTCTCTTGTGTAAAGTAAGGAAATCAGTTAGTGTTCTATTTTGAAGAATAAATAGGTTTATACGTGTGAATTTTAAGCCAGTGCCTGACACATAATAAGTTCTCAATAAATGATAGCAGTTACTTTCTACCTCTACCCTCTATTCTCAGCTCTTAGGTGTTATGTGCCTTCAAGTCAGTTCCAACTCATAGCTCCTTAGTTTCCAAGCGGCAACTGTTAGGTTTTAACCACCAATCTTGCGGTTAGCAGACTAGTGCTTATCCTACAGCGTCACACCAGCACTCCCAGCTCTTAGAATGTTGTTGTTGTTAAATGTCAAGTCGATTCCAACCCATAGTGACCCTGTATAGGGTTTCCAAGGAGCAGCTGATGAACTTGAACCACTGACCTTGCAGTTCAAACGACTTCTCAGTCTGATGCATTAACCCACCGTGCGACACCAGGACTCCAGCTCTTAGAATAGAACCTGGAAAAATAGATGCATAAGAAAAGAAATATTTGGTGAGTGACTATAGAAATTTTAATCATAATAAATAAGTATATATCTGTATAACCTTCTATATATAAAAGAGGGAAATTAGTAGAATTTTCCCTAACATTTTAAAATAAATCTGTTCTTTAGTATGTATCCTGTTAGGATATTTTGAGATTATAATATATGATGAACACTAGAGCAAGTAGAATACTTTTGTTAAATACCATATATTGAACTTCATATATAAATACTATCTTTAGGAAAGGCCTCAAGTAAATTATCTCTTAGAGAACTTTGGATCATTGGAAAAGATGAGAGTAGACAGGATTTTATGCTAGTATGTTCATATATGAAGGCGCTCTGGTAACAGAGTGGTTACAAATTGGGCTGCAAACCACAAGGTCAGCATTTCAAAACTACCAGCTGTTCCACAGGAGAAAGATGAGGCTTTCTGCTCCCGTAAAGATTTACAGCCTCAGAAACCCTGTACAGGGTTGCTGTGAGTCAGAACCAACTCCACGGCACACAGCCACCATGTTCATATATGGAAGACAGTCCAATTTTATCTTCTACTGGTTTATGTACATTCTATTTCTCTGTAACTTGTAAGTATAATGTTAAAACAACATAAATATATTATTTACTAAATTACCAACATTGACCTGCAGATTTCCAGTTTTTCTGAGTTTTCTTAAGAACGTTTTTGTCCTCAAGAAAAGTTACTGCTTTTATTGGTAGTATAATTTATTATCAAGGTTCTTGTGATTGATAATTCAGTTTATTTCTCTTGAATTAGATAATTTTTGCTTAAATATGAAAGTGAATGAAAGGAATTAATAATTCTTTAAAATGGAAAGTTAACTACTTTTTTTTGCTTCAGAGTACATATATATATTTTGTTGTTGTTAAGTGCCATCGAGTTGGTTTTGACTCATAACAACCCTGTATAAGGTAGTGGTTACGAATCGGACTGTGAACCGCAAGGTCAGCAGTTCAAAACTACCAGCTGCTCTGCGGGAGAAAGATGAAGCTTTCTGCTCCCGTAAAGATTTACAGCCTCGGAAACCCTGTTCAGGGTCGCTGTGGGTCGGAACCAACTAGACAGCACTTACCAACAACAACAATATAGGGTTTCCAAGGAGTGATGATGAGATTGAACTGCTGACCTTGCGGTGCTCTTGTAGTCCTGTTCAAACATCTTGTTTTAAAAATGTGTAGTTAAGTATTCCTCTTAAAAATTTACAACAGAAGTATATTTATAGCAGGATCTCCCTTCAAGTGAGGGTCTGCATAGTCTTAGGAATGCTTCCCAAGGGATGTTTCTGCATGGATAGCTTTAAAGGTATCCAGATCTTCAATTCCTATATATATACCTTTACCTTTGTTAGGAATACTGATAGGCATGGCACTGTGGGTTAATGCACTGGACTGCAAAGTTGATTTAAACAGCAAGATCGGCGGTTCAAGCTCACTAGCCACTCCTCAGAAACCCTGTGCAGAGTTGCTGTGGATCAGAACTGACTCAATAGCACTTAACAACAAAACCTTTGTTAAAATTGATTTAATTTAAAACAAAAGAAGGAGCCCTATTGGTTGGTGCATTAGATTAAACATTGACCTGCTAACAGCAAGGTCAGCAGTTAAAATCCATCAGCTGCTTTGTGGGAGAAAGATGAAGCTGTCTGCTCCCATAGAAATGTACAGTGTAGGAAATCATATGGAGCAGCTCCACTCTGCCCTATGGGGTTATTATGAGTTGCAATGGACTTGATGGCAGAGGGTAAGAAGAACACAGAGGTCAGACCTCCTCTTTCCCTTCTCATTATCACCCTTCTCCCACCTTACAGAAGAAATCTATGAAAGATTGTATTCTTCAAAATTGACTACAATAACCCCATTGTAAGTGAGTTCTTAAGTCAGTCTATAACTTTTTTATTTTAATTTTCATTATTATTGCTTTTTATTATTAATATCTTTATAAATTTGATCTTTTAGCATCTGAAAATACTAGCATCAGCAAATTACACTGTATGTAGCTCATATTACTAACACTAAAGTATATTAAAACATATGTATGTGTATGGTTGTAAGTACAAAGTATTGCTACTAGTATTTCAGTTCATGCATGCATGGATTTATTACAAACGAAGCATATGTAAATATGCCTCTCTTATCAGTATATGGCTGCAAACAAGTTCTCTTATTAGTAATACACTTTTCTTAGTCCCGTTACTTGGTTGGTTATGTGCCAAGGAGTCGGTTCCAACTCATAGTGACTCTGTACAGGGTTTCCAAGGCTGTAAATCTTTATGGGAGCAGAAAGCCTCATCTTTCTCCCGCAGAACAGCTGGGAGTTTTGAACAGCTGACCTTGCAGTTCACAGCCCGATTTGTAACCGCTACACTACCAGAGTCTCGTTAGGATACCTTTAAAAAAAAAAAAAAAAAAGGTCCAGTCAAAACAGCAACTTCCAAAGGAATATGCTGGGCTTATTAAATTCAAGGCAAAGGGGTCAGCTTAGAAGGTTATTGTGACTGTTTTTAGAACTATAAATGGGATAATCTAAATAGACTTTCTCAAAGGACACATGACAATCCTGAGGACTTATGAAGACATTTTAAGGAAATGGAAAACTGCATTAGTGACTTAGGGTTTGGGGGCGGGTTAAGCAGAGACAGGTAGGAAAAGCTCCTCTGCAAAAGTGCAGGAAAAGAGAAGGAGCATCCGTGGATGAGCGCCAGAGTTTTAGATCTTGTATAAGGCTCCAGGAGCAAGTTTCTAATGCCCACCTGTGGAGAAATCTTGTGGAAGCCAAATACGGCAGTTTCTGAATAGATCTGGACAGCCTGGACTGAGGTCAGAGTGCGGGGCCAAAGACAAATGGAGGCAGTGACCCAGCATAGAAGCCACAGAGCTGCACATCTGGAGGGAGAGATGTGACCAATTTTTCATCTTTCACTTTTCAAGTATTTTTCCTCTTCACCCTGATCATACCC